TGCTCGGCAGCCTCACCCCGCCCCCTAGGACGTGGGGACAGAGACAGGGGTGAGTCCTACCTCAGCAGTGTGGCAGGGGATAAACCCCAAAAGGAGGTGGGAGCAATGTCCCCATTTAACAGAGAGGAATGCTGAGGCCTTGGCTGGGGGTGGATCCGCCGGCCACAGAGCTAAAGCTACAGTTCCAGCTTTCTGAGGACTAGTGTTTGTGTAGGGACTCTCTCCCCACCTCCAAGCCAGGGAAGTTCCAAACCAGAGATGGGTTATCTCTCTATTAACAAACCCCAGGGCCCTGCATCTCTCAACCTGTGTGTCCTTGGAGGAGTCACTTACCTCCTCTGAACCTCCGTCCCTTGTCTGTCACTTCTAATCCAGATACTGTCCTTCCTTGGCCCTATGCAGTCCTCCTGACAGACTTTTTTTTTTTTTTTTTTGCTGTGTTGGGTCTTAGTTGTGGCACACAGGCTTCTAACTGTGGGGTGTGGGCTCAGTTGCCCTGCAGCATGGGGTTCTTTGTTCCCTAAGCAGGGATTGAACCTGCGTCCCCTACATTGGAAGACGGATTCTTAACCATTGGACCACCAGGGAAGACCCCAATCAAACTTTACAATACAGACTTTTGTTCTCTTCTAGGCAGGACATATCCTCCTGCCTCAGGACTTTTGCATGTTCTGTTTTGAAAACTTGGAATATCTTTCTTCTCCTCTATACTCATCCTGTCTTACCCTTCAGGCCTGGATTCATATGTCACTTCCTCAAGGAGGCCTCCCTGCCCCCTTCCTTGCCCTCTGCACCTCTCCTGGCAATCCTGTCAGAGTGTAATGATGTATTTACAGAGTGATTTGACTCATCTGGCCTCCACATTAGCTTCTAAGCCCCATGAAAGTGAAAGTGTTAGTCACTCAGTCGTGTCCATCTCTTTGTGATCTTATGGACTGTAGCCCGCCAGGCTCCTCTGTCTATGGGAGTCTCCAGGCAAGAACAATGGAGTGGGCTGCCCTTCTCTAAGGGATCTTCCTGACCCAGGAATTGAACCCCAGTCTCTGGCATTGCAAGTGGATTCTTTACCATCTGAGCCACCAGGGGAGCAAGCCCCATGAGGACAGGTTTCTCTTATCCACCGCTGTATCCTCACACAGTGCCTGGCACATAGAAGGTGCCCCCATAAACATTGGAGGAAGGGAATAGACCTAAGGAGGGAAAGATCCAAAAAGGGGCTCAACTTGGGACTTCCCTGATGGTCCGGTGGCTGAGACTCCTCCCTCCCCATGCAGAGGGTCAGGGTTCAATCTCTGATCAGGGAACTAAGATCCCACTTGCTGCAGCTAAGGATTCCTCATGCTGAAGCTGAAGGTCCTCCATGCCTCAACTAAGACCCAACACAGCCAATAAAATAAATAAATATTTAAATAAAAAGGGCTCAACTGTCTCTGGAATGTTGTGGTTAAAGAGGAGGGACTCCACATCCAGATGGCCTGAGTTCAAAACCTACCTTTGACTTGATACCACAAGCACACTCCATAAAAGAAAATGTGACAAAGCAGGACTCATCCCAATTTAAAACTTTACAAAAGACCATCTGAGGAGAATGAAAAGAGGAGCTATAGGCTCGGAGAAGATATCCAACAGAGGACTCTCTGGAACATCTCGATGTATATCTAGAATATTCAGAGAAGTCTCAAAACTCAGTTAAAAAAACCCAATTAGGACACGGGCAGCAGACAGGAACAGATATTTTGCTGAAGAGGACATACAGATGGCAAATAAGCGCATGAAAAGATGGTCACCATCATTAGCCAGTAGAGAGATGCAACATTAAACCACAGTGAGATATTGCTACACACCAATCAGAATGGCTAAAACAAAAAATAGTGATGGCAGTGAGGATGCAGAAAAAAACTGGATCACATACATTGCTACTGTGAATATAAAATAGTGCAGCCATTCTGGAAAATAATATGGCAGTTTCTTAACTTAAAAACAAACAAAACTAAACAGGCACTGGCCATATGACCTAGCAATTGTACTCTTCGGCATCTATACTGGAAAAATGAAAACTCATGTTCATACAAAAACCAGGAGAGGAACTTCACTAGGCCTTATTCAGAGTAGCCAAAGTCACAAATCAACCCAAATATCCTCCAACATGAGTGATTTCTTTTTTGGCCCCGCCTCTTCTCAGCTTGCAGGATCTTAGTTCCCCAAGTAGGGATGGAACCTGGAGTCCCTGAAATGGAAGCTCAGGGCCCATTCCTAACCACTGGGCCCTCAAGGAAGTCCCATAATGTGAGGTGCATCCGTCCCATGGAATTCTTCTCAGCAATCAAAAAGAATAAATACCTGTAACAAGCAGCATGGATCTCAAGAGAATGATGTTGAGTGAAAAAAGTCAATCTCAAGCAGTTACATAGCATATGATTCCAATTGCTGTATAACAGCCCTGACATGACAAAATAATACAGCTGGAGAACAGATGAATGGAAGTAGGGGTTAGGGAGGCAGGAGGGAGAAGATGGGTGTAGCTATAAAAGGTTGGATTGAAGCACTCTTGTGATGACTGTTCTGTATCTGGACTGTGCCAGTCATAGGAATCGACATGTGATAAAACAGCATAGAATGAAGGAATTCCCTTGTGGTTCAGTGGTTACAACTCTGATCTTCCACTACTAGGGGCCCAGGTTTGATCTCTGCTCAGGGTGCTAAGATCGTACAAGCCTCGCTATTTGGCCAAGTAAATAAACAATAGATGACACCACCCTTATGGCAGAAAGTGAAGAAGAACTAAAGAGCCTCTTGATGAAAGTGAAAGAAGAGAGTGAAAAAGTTGGCTTAAAGCTCAACATTCAGAAAACTAAGATCATGGCATCCGGTCCCATCACTTCATGGCAAATAGATGGGGAAACAGTGGAAACAGTGGCTGACTTTATTTTTCTGGGCTCCAAAATCACTGCAGATGGTGATTGCAGCCATGAAATTAAAAGACGCTTACTCCTTGGAGGGAAAGTTATGACCAACCTAGAGAGCATATTAAAAAGCAGAGACATTACTTTGCCAACAAAGGTCTGCTAGTCAAGGCTATGGTTTTTCCAGTGGTCATGTACAGACATGAGAGTTGGACTATAGAGAAAGCTGAGTGCAGAATTGATGCTTTTGAACTGTGGTATTGGAGAAGACTCTTGAGAGTCCCTTGGACTGCAAGGAGATCCAACCAGTCCATCCTAAAGGAGATCAGTCTTGGGTGTTCATTGGAAGGACTAATGTTGAAGCTGAAACTCCAATCTTTTGGCCGCCTGATGGGAAGAGCTGACTCATTGGAAAAGACCCTGATGCTGGGAAAGATTAAAGGCAGGAGGAGAAGGGGACGACAGAGGATGAGATGGTTGGATGGCATCACCAACTCGATGGACATGGATTTGAGTGAACTCTGGGAGTTGGTGATGGACAGGGAGGCCTGGTGTGCTGCAGTTCATGGGGTCGCAAAGAGTCAGACATGACTGAGCGACTGAACTGAACTGAAATACACGCACACACACATGCACACAAACAAGTGCATATAAAATGGGGCAATCTAAATAAGGTGGGAGGATTTTAATCAGTATCCGTATCGGGTTGTGATCCGGACTGTAGTTGAGTGAGATGTCACCACTGGGGGAAACTAGGTGAAGCAGTATGGCTTCTCTCATTTTATTTCTTAAACTGCACAGGAATCTACAATTGTCAGTAAATAAAAAAGCTGTATCCATTTAGCTATCCATCTTCTAGAATGACTTTCACAAACGTAAAACTGACAGTTCCAATTGCTGGCTAGGAGATGGAGCAATCCAAACTCACATGCATTGCTAGTGTGCATATAAAACAGTGCAGCCCCTTTGAAAACCAGGTTTGCAGTTTTTTGTACAGTTAAACATGCACTTACTATATGGCCCATCTATCATACGCCTACATATTTGTGCAAGTGAAATGAAAGCTTCTGTTTGCACATAAGCCCTGTGTGTGAACACGGGCTATATTTATAATTGCCCAGAATTAGAAATAATCCAAGTGGAGGACAAATAAACAAACTATAGTATGTTATCAAATACTACTCAGTAGTGAAAAATGCATGTCAATATGTACACGTCAGTATGAATGAATTGCAGATGAATACTGCTCTGTGCAAGAAGCCAGACTTAAAAGGTTGATAATGTATACAAGTCTACTGAAGATTTTCTGGAAAAGGGAAATCTACAGGGAAAGGTAATAGTGGTTTCCAGGGGCTGAGTGAGGACAAGGTGGATCATAAAGGGACATGAGGACTTTGGGGGGGTGATGAAAATATTTTGTATCTTGACTGTGGTGGCTACACAACTTTATGCTTTTGCTAAAACCCATAGAACTGTATGCTCCGTATACATGGTGCTAGTGGTAAAGAACTTGCCTGCCAATGCAGGAGACGTAGGAGACTCGGGGTTCAATCCCTGGGTTGGGAAGACACCCTGGAGGAGGGCATGGCAAGCCACTCCAGTATTCTTGCCTAAAAAGTCCTATGGACAGAGGAGCCTGGCAGGCTACAGTCCGAAGGGTCGCAAAGAGTTGGACACGACTGAGCATGCACACAACACAGCTGATCACATAACGGTGTTAGTGAAGTCCTGCCCCACCCATCCGGGAGGAGGTTTGACTAGCCATGGTGCACCAAGTAGCAAATTCTTGGCCAAGAGACCCACATCCTGTTCATTGCACCCCAATTTAGATTGGGAGTTCAAGGTTCCTCCAGAAAAGGCAGAAACTGCCCCCTCCCTGCAGCCCCCTCCCTCTGGGGGAGGGGGTGCGGGGGCGGATTCTCCAGTCCGGAGCTGGCAATGGAATGTTGTGTCGTTGGTTGCCCAGGCGACCAAGGCCTGCTGGGTGCTGCCTTCCGGGAGTACTGAGCGTGAAAACCGTCCATCAGAAGCCCCCAGGGCCTCCGAGACTTGTGCAAAATTCCAGAAAGAAAGCAAGCCCGGGGCAGCAGCGGGAGAATGGCAGTGCCCTGGGAGGAATATTTCCAACTGGTTTTGGAAGAGAAGCTGTCTACGTGAGTGGTGTGCAGGGCACACTGAAGCAGGCAGGACGGGTGGGCAGGAGTGGGTGGGTTGGCCCCTTCCTTTCCCCCACCCCTGGATCCTGGCTTCTAAGGGCAGTTCTTGGTGGGGGTTTATGGCCCCACTTCCCAGAGGAAGACACTGAGGCTTGAAGGAAATGGCAATTTTCCCAAGGTCTCAGGGGTAGTTAGGGCAGAGCTGGGTCAATAATCCCGGTCTCTGATCTGTGCCTGAGCCCCACTCCTAGCTGATACTCAGTTGAGATGAAATCGTTTGACCCAAGGTGGGAAGGAATTACTCTCGTACCCTCTCCCTGCAAACTACATTTTAGAGGAAGATTGGAAGAAGCTTGTCAGCCTTGTTCAGCACTGTGGCTGGAGGGGGTCCCAACTTCAGTATCATTTAATATATCATTATATATATATATATATATATATGCAGCATGTGAGATCTTAGTTCCCCTACCAGGAATCTGCCTGCAATGTAGGAGACCTGGGTTCGATCCCTGGGTCTGGAGGATCCCTTGGAGAAGGGCATGGCTACCCACTCCAGTATTCTTGCCTGGAGAATTCCATGGACAGAGGAGCCTGGTGGGCTCCAGTCCTCGGGGTCGCAAAGAGTCAGACACAACTGAGCGACTACTGCTTTCACTTTCACCAGGAATCAAACCTGTGCTTTCTGCAGACTCTTTTTTAAGATTTATTTATTTAGTTATTCCTATTTTTTTGGCTGTGGTGGGTCTTTGTTGCTGCACGTGGGCTTTCTGTAGTTGAGCTGAGCAGGGGCTGCTCTTCGTTGCTGTGCGTGATTTTCTGATGGTGGTGGCTGGCTTCTCTTGTTGCGGAGCACAGGCTTTAGGAGTGCAGGCTTCAGTAGTTGTGGCTTGCAGGCTCAATAGTTGTGGTGCAAAGGTTTACCTGCTCCGGGGCATGTGAGATCTTCCCAAACCAGGGATCAAACCAGTGTCCCTTGCATTGCAAGGCAGATTCTTAACCACTCGACCACCAGGGAAGCCCGAGTGTGGACTCTTAACTTAGGGGAGTCCCCCAACTTCAGTCTCAGAATCAGTAAAATGGGAGGGTTTCCCCTGGACCAGAGCTGGGCAATCCGAGTATAACTGTAGCACATCCCTCCTGCTCCTGACACAGCTGACCCTGTGGGGCTGGGTCCAGCCTCTCCTCTCTCCTGGAAGCCTGGCTCCAGAGCTCAGTCTCCTAGACCCTCCCCCACAGAGATCAACTTGCAGCTCAGTCTCAACTTCGCCTTACAGAAGAGCTGACCTCCCTGCTCCCCACTCAGCCTGCCATCAGCAACATCCTTCCAATGTCGAGGTTCCCCTTTGAACTCCTCTCTCACCGCCTCATCACCGCATCTGCTCTGCTCTCCAGTGATACCCAGAACCCACCACTCTTTACCTCTACAGAGCCACCCAGACCAGAATTGCATCCTCTCCACATTATCCTGTGATCTGTCCTGGGTCCCCTGCAGCTGCCCCACCCCTCTTATTGGCCTTGCCCCCCACAGCAGACAGAGGGGTACCTCCTCTGCTCCAAACCTTCCCATGCTTCCCATCTCACTCAGAGTCAAAGCCAGAGACCCCCTTCATTGCAGCCCACTGCAGTCTGACCCTCGTAACTTCTCTGATCTCAATTCCCATCACTCTGCTCCTCCCTCCCTTCCTACCACACTGGCCTCCTGGCAGCTCTTTCTACATACCAAGGTCCTTCTCTTGGGGTCTGGCATTGACTATTCCCTCAGCCTAGAATCTGTTCCCTGCAGCATCAACATGGCTCCCTCCCTCTTCCCCTTCAAGTCTCTGCTCAAATGTCCCTTTCTCAGAGACTTTTCTATCTCCCTATTGAGAGATTTCGTTTAGTCTGCTGACTTTCATCTCAGTCCCTACCATGTCCCAGCATTTATTATTTTTTATTTTGGCTGCACCACACAGCATGTCAGACCTTAGTTTTCTGATCATTATTCAGACCTGTGCCCCATGCTTTGGAAGCCTTGAGTCTTAACCACTGGACTGCCAGCGGAGTCCCTCAAAGTGTGAAAGTGAAAGTGTTAGTCGCTCAGTCGTGTCCAACTCTTTGAGACCCCACAGACTGTAGCCAACCAGGCTCCTCTGTCTATAGGGATTCTTCAGGCAAGAATACTGGATTGGGTATCCATTTTCTTCTCCAGGGGATCTTCCTGACCCAGGGATCGAACCTGGGTCTCCCACATCTCAGGCAGATTCTTTACCATCTGAGCCACCAGGAAGCCCAGGGAAGTCCCTAGCATTGTTTGTTGTTTGTTAGCTTTCTTTTCTGTGTTCCCTAGTGGGATGCCAGCTCCTGGAGACCAGGGATCTGTCTGTCTTGACCAAGGCTGCACCCCCCCCCCGCCCCGTGCCGAGAACAGTGCTTGGCACAGAGTAGATTCTCGGGACAATTTGCTGAATGAGTAAAAAATTCCACAGCCAGGAGGTGGCTAAGAGAGGCATGTTAGGCACCACTGGAGAATTTGGGGGCCCTACTTCTTGCCTCCTTTACCCCCACTTCCTTTTGCACCCCTAGGAAGATCCCAGAGCAGAACACAGACCACGTCCCCCGGGTCCTGCATCTCTTGGAGAAGAGGCAGGAGCTGGTGGATGCAGACCGGGAGCTTCAGGCCCAGAAGGAGGTGAGCCACTCAGTGTAGTCCCTGAAACTTTTGGGGGACTCCAGACCCCTCCAATAAAAGATGAGAAAGTGATGGAGCCAACTTATTACTACAAGGTCTGAGACAAGCCACTGTGCTGAGCCTTGCTTTCCTCATCTGTCAAATGGGGGTCAAATGAGATCAGTGATTGGTGCAAATCAATGTGCATTGAGCAGCTACTGTGTGCAGGATATGCCCTGGGATCTAGAAGTCTCACCACAGCCCCTGCCTTCATGGGCTCAGCCTAGAGAAGAGAACAGACAAGTGTCCGGGTAATGACTGCTGTGAGGGGGGAAGCACTGAGCAGGGATGGCGGGAGCCCAGAGAAAGCCCCTGTCTCTACACAGCGGTGGTCACGGAGGACTTCCTGGAGGAAGTGATGTCTTAAGGATGGCTGAAGGGCAAGTCAGCTTTTCCAGCAAAGAGGGATAGGGTGAAAAGGGGGAAACACACAGAGGGGACAGCATATACAAAGACAGGAAGGTGAGGACAAAACACAGGTGAATAAGAGTCTGGAAAACAGTGTTGAAGGAGACAGGGTGAGATGAGGCCCGAAGGAAGAGCAGGGATGCTGACATGCAGGGGCTACTGGAGGGAATTTGGGCTTCATCATGGATAGTGGGGGGCCACAGGTAGATATGAGCCAGGGTGCAGCATCAAGATTAAAGGCAAAAGATAAGCAGAGTTAAATATGAACCTGAAAGCGCTGGATGACTTGAAACCCCAAACACACACAGATACCTACTGTTTACCGGCCAGGTGTTCGAGATCACAAAGGCCTCCCTGAAACAGCGATGGGAACAGTTGGAACAGAAAGAGCAGGAGCTAAAGGGGTCATTCATCCGCTTTGAAAAATTTTTGCAGGTATGTGGAGACTGGTGGGGGAAGGCAGGGCAAGGGTCACAAAGTCACAATCCTATGAGCCAGACCGGTCACGGAAACTTAAAAAGTGGGTTTACCCAATTAAAAAGAATAAAATAAGACCATCTGCAGCAACATGGATGGTTGTCATACCTAGAGATTGTCATACTTAGTGAAGTTAATCAGGCAGAAAAGGAACATTGTATGACATCCCTTATATGTGGAATCTAAAAAAAAAATCATACAGATTAAATTACTTACTTACCAAACAGAAAGAGACTCACAGACTCAGAGAAGGAATTTATGGTTTCTGGGAAGGCGGGGCAGGGATGGATGGAGGGGTTTGGAAATGGGTGGGGAACGGATAGTTAGGGAGTTTGGGATGGACATGTACACACTTCTATATTTAAAATGGATAACCAACAAGGACCTACTGTATAGCATAGGGAAATTTGCTCAGTGTTATGTGGCAGCCTGGATGGGAGGAGAGTTTGGGGGAGAATGGATACATGCATGTTTTATGGCTGAGTTTTTTCACTGTTCACCTGAAACTATCACAACATTGTTAATCTGCTATACCCCAATACAAAATAAAAAGTTTCGTGGTTTTTTTTTTTTTTAAACTGGGCTTACCAATATAAAAGGGACCGGTGGGAAATACACATGCACTGCCTGAAGCATTTTAAAAAGCGTGGGAGAGGAGTGAGGGGCCGAAAAGATTCTAGTTGAATTTGGCCCGCGGACCATCTGTTTGCAACCAGTGACTCAACGTGTGAATATTGGGACGGAGTGGCTGCGGCGAGCTCTGCAGGCTCCCAAGTCTTGGGATTCGTGGCCTTCTCTCCATCCCTCTTTCCCAGGACGCCGAGGCCCGGCGCAGCCGCGCACTGCGGGGAGCAGCGGAGGAGCGGCACCTAGCGGGCCGCCGGGAGGCGGAGGCGCTGCGGCTCCGGGCTCAGCTGGCCGAGCTGCAGCGGGAGCGCGCGCGGCTGCAGCGCAGGCTGCAGCGTCTGGAGCCATGCGCGCGTCTGCTGGGGCAAATGTTGGAGCTGCTGCCCGAGGTGAGCGCCCTGCAGGAGGTTTTGGGGTTCAGTGTCACATGCAGCCCCGGGCGGCCTCAGGGACGGCTTTGGAAGTGTGCACTAGTGAAGCGCTGACTGTATGTCAGGAGTCACCACTTACTTAGCACAAACTGTATGCCAGGAACACGCTTTGTTCTTGAATTCTCCCTAAGGTCTAATGAAGTGAGTCTTATTGTCAACCCCATTTTACAGACGGTGCAACTGAGGCTGAGAAAGATAACCTACTGAAGGACACACAGGCATGTGGGGGAGGGGGAATCCAGGAACTCGGTATAGTTCAACGAAACAATGAATTAACATTAATCACAGGCAGTGAAACTTAGATGGGTTTAACGGTAGAGGTGGGGAGTGAAAGTCGGTTCAGTCGTGTCCGACTCTGCGACCCCATGGACTATGCAGTCCATGAAATTCTCCAGGCCAGAATACTGGAGTGGGTAGCCTTTCCCTTCTCCAGGGGCTCTTCCCAACCCAGGGATCGAGTCCAGGTCTCCCACATTGCAGGTGGATTCTTTACCAGCTGAGCCACAAGGGGAACCCAAGAATACTGGAGTGGGTAGCCTATCCCTTCTTCAGCGGATCTTCCCAACCCGGGAATCGAAACGGGGCGGGGAGGGGGGAGAGTAACTAACACTTGGGGCGCAGCGATGTGTGATGCCCTGATTTCACAGCTGGGCTAAGGAGGCGCGGGGTTTGGGCGTGGGGAGGGGAGGGAGCCGCAGGCCCGGTGAGTACCCGCTCCCGACCCCATCCCAGTTCCAAGAGGTCCCCGAACTGGTGGCGCGCTTCGACGGGCTGGCGGACATGCAGGAGGCGCTGAGGCTCACGGAGCGCCAGCGGCTCGCGGAGCTGGAGGAGGCGCGCGCGCGGCTGCAGCGGCTGCGGGACTCCTGGCAGGACGAGCTGCTTCTGCAGGGCCAGCGGCGAGCGCATCTCCTGGAGCAACTGGAGTCGGCGCGGGAGCGCACGCTGCACTGGGTACCGAGGCCGGAGGAGGTGGGCGTCCGGGACCCCAGGCTCCCACCGCCGGGAGGAGAGCCGGGGTTAATAACAGGAGATGCGGCAACGCTTCTTTCATGGGCAGTTTTCCTTGAGAGAGCCTATTGGGATCTGACTTGTGGGAAGCAGGGGGGAATGGGGCTCCAGCCCTTTTCAGGCCGGCTCACACCTTAATGGGGCAGGGGGCGGGGTGTTCTCCAGGAATCCAAGTGGATTCAGATCCAGACCACGGCGGCTGAGAAGACCTTGCTCCTGGGACGCACCAGGATGGCAGTACTCAATATGTACCAGCTAGTGTGTCAGCATCAGAGACGGCCACCCGCCCTAGACATCGAGGACGCCGAGGGGCAGCTGGAGCAGGTGAGGACCCCTCTGCAGGTCACCTCCAGCCCCCCAACCTTTGGGAACATACGGTGCCTGCAATCCCACCTTCTCTGGATTGAGCATGACCTCTGTGATCGGAGCCCAGTCTCTTAGCTGCATGCCTGCCTAGCCCCCTGCCTGGGAGCCTTGGGTCAGTCTCGACTCTGCTGCTGCGAGGACAGAAGGAGGTCGGACCATCTCTGGCTCTCAATGGCTTCACTGTGCACTAGGCCAGGGTATACTGATGCATACAATACATTTATGCCAAGAGGTCTTTTGTTTTAGGATCAAACAGCGCAAACAAGTGACAACATCGATAAAAACCAGGAGATGGAAATTCACTTTAAATTAGTCCCTGACCCTCTGGCTCCCGCAGGGACAAGCCTCAGCTTCCCCTGGGGAGTGTGAAGACAGGGTTGTACAGTGGTTTTTCTTTCTGCACAGTGGCATCACAAAGGTCATTGTGTCCAAGGATGCCCGGTTTTTCTATTCACTCAGGTTTGTAAGGTGGTAGAACACGTGACCTGGTTTACACTGGAGGGCGGGGGTTTCTAACGTTGGACCCTTCTGTTAGGATTCTAGTGAGTCCCCAAAGCATAGCCCCTTTGAGAAGTGGAGGAAACAAAGCGAGGCACCCCACCTTCACCCCAGCCCACCTCACTCCCGTCCTGTACCCAGAGGCCAGAATTCCAACCAAATGCCCAGAACTGGGTCCCCAGAGTCTACCTTAGTGCCACATCCTGAGTCAGGCGGATTCATGTGTACACCACTGTTCTCTCAAGTGTGGCCCAGGTACCCCAAGGGACAAAAGAAGACTCTAGGAGGGACAGAGGCTCCGTATGAAATAACAGGCAAAAGCCAGTCCCTTTTCAACCAACTCTCTGATCTTCCCAAGGAGAAAGGTTCAGTGGGGTTGGGGGGGTGCGGGGGTGACAATATGCCTTTAACGCCTGGAATACCCCTGGTCTCCAGGGCCTGGGACTCACATTTTTTGTGGGCAACTGCAGCTGCCAGAATTCAGTAACCTGGTTTCACTTTCATTTTGTTATTCTTCCAGTTACCCCCACTTATGACAAGGGGTAATTTAATCTCTTTCCATTTTTGATGGAGACATAGTTTCCTTGTCAGATGTTTATTTCAGTGACAAAGGTGAAGGAAGAGCCCAAGGTGAGATTACCATCATGTTCTAGGTCTTGGCAGTGGATCCATGGGTGTTCATTAAGCTCGTTTCAATAAACAGGTTAATTTAAACAAAATAAAGGTGAAGATGAGAGTAGGTCATACACTAATGAACATGACTGATCAAACTAAAAGGAAAAAAAAGAACTGATGGTAAGTGAAAATACTAACTCAACTATAATACAGGTAATAACCAACTAGAAAACTGAAAAGTGCCTGTGAATGAATTGCTTGGAAGGCTTGGACTGAGATGTTGGACTGAGGCTTAAAAAACCCAGAAGGGTTTAGACCAGGTTCACTGCCCCTGGGGAGCCAACATCACTGCTATCTAATAGGAGTCCCTAACTGCCACCCCTGCTTTGCATCCTCTGGTGTTTTGGGGGGCGGGGACTGGGCACTCAGGGGCTGGGCTCTGATTCTGGCTATGTTGGGACCCCAGGTGAAGCTGTCCATTCTGGACCTCTCCGCCATACTGGCCGGACTCCATCAGGCTAAGTCCACTGCCCCCACCTCCTAACCCTGACCCAGGTGAGCAGTGGGAGAGGGACCCCTGGAGGGACCCAGCCTGAGGACAGGGGAGGTACACATTTCCTGTGGGGTGTGGGCTGAGTGGCTCTCACCAGAAAGATGGGAGGGCTGTGCCCGCTCAGATGGCAGTGGGGTGTACACAAGAGGCACACAGCAAGTACTAAGTAAATGTGAGCTACATGGGGCCCCAAAACCACATCCACTATGTGGCCTGGTACCTGGTCCTCCCTCCCAGGGCAGTGGGGGCATTTGAACCAGCTGATGTTTGTCAGGTTAGAATGGGGCCTGGCGCAAAAATTCTGGGAAATTCTTGATGAGTGTTTGGTAAGTAAAGTAAAATAAAGGACCAGCAAGAGGGTCACATGCAGACACCATTCCCAGGGCGTCTGCTCACAAAGGCTCCTCCATAATGGACTGGCGCTGAGGGATGGCCAGTCTGAGAACCCAGCTGCAAGATGCAGCCCATGACCTTCCCAGGGCCCCCAGCAGGGGCTGAGGAGCACAAGGCTTAGAGGAAAGCAGAGGTCAGGACAGGTTTTGACCTCTGGGTATGGGGTGGACTCTTCACAGCCAAGAGGAGCACTGCATGCTCTGATCCTTGACCCCACATCCCATCTGCCTCTCACCGTCCAGTCCCAGCTGCAAGCCTGTCCTGGTGGGAGGAAAGGGACCCAAGGGCCAACTTCAAGGTCCTCAAACCTTGGCAACCTACCCATCCTCTGAGCCTGACTTTTCTCATCAGCAAAATGGAGACATCGGCAGAACCCACACAGGACCCACCCACACGCTCTCGGCTCATCAGCACTCCAGCTGAAATTCCAGCACCCTGGCCTGTCCCTTCCAACTCCTCAAGCAGACTGTGCTCCTGGTCCACTGGAGATGCTCAATAAAGGTTTATTACATTAAAAATACATCACTGGGCCTCAGGCACTCAGGGCTCAAACCCATGGGGCCACCATCTCTGAATCTGGAACACACGAAAAGCAGCAGCGGCTGAGGTGCCAGCTCAGGTTGTGGCCTACCTGGCAAACTCCTATGAACCCTTCAAGACCCTACTCAAATGTGCCCTGTGTTAGGCAGAGGCAGCTGCTGCCCCTCTGTGGCTGTGCGGCACTCCTTTGCATGGGCCAAGGGAGCTCCCCCAGTGCTCAACTCAGGGCCAGGCACACAGCGGTACACGGGGAACGCTGCTGATGTCCACGCCTGGACCAACTGAGGAATCGCAGGGCTGTGTCACCTTCTTACATCCTCTTCCTCATCTTGCCCTTCTTGGAAGGGGCGCCCCGGCCGAAGGCGCCCTGCTGCAGCTCCTGTGCGCGGCGCCGGTTGCGGGCAGAGAGCTGCTTCAGGCCCCCACGCTGCAGGAAGCGCATCTTCTGGGCTCGGCGCCGCTGCTTCAGGATCTGCTGCTTGGTCTTGAGTTCTGAGCGCACACGGCCCGCGGGGGTGCCGGGGGTGCGGGGCTGGGATGCACCTGCCGGGACAAAGATGCCAGGAGCTCAGCTTTTGGGTCGACTCCCACTGTCTTCTCCTCCCAAAAATTCCCCTGTCCCCACTCCCATTCTGTGTTCAAGCCCCAACATCTGGGAGATGGTAACTGCTGAATAAGGCTTAAGTTGTCCACTGTAACAGGCAACAGCATGGACCCTCTAGCCCAAACTGCAGAGTTCAAATCCCAGCTGTGACCTCACGGACAATGACATAACTTCTCTGTGCCTCAGTTTCCCCGCCTGTGAATTATGAATAGCATCTACCTCCAAGGTCCCAGAGAGACATAAATGAGTTATTATGTGTGCAGTGTTCAGAACAAGGCCTGGTCCACAGTAAGGCCTCCTAAGTGTAACTATCACAATCAGAAATCACTCAACAAAGGCTTTTCAGCACCTCCTCTAGGCTGGGCACTGGAGACCCAGGCAGACTCCAATCCCTGTCTCTATGGACTGTATTGTCTAGGCTGTGGCTTAACCTTCTTCTGGCAGAAGAGAAATCAGAGGAGGTCAGTGAGGAGAAGGGACTTGTCCATGGTCACCCAACAAAGTGGTGGTGGCGGGCAGGAGCAGTCAGGCGCCTGCCCCAGCCCACTCTCCCAGGTCTCTGGGAGGGCACTCTTACCCCTTGCCCAGGGCCTCCCTGGTGGCTCAGAGGGTAAAGTGTCTGCCTACAATGCGGACACTCGGGTTCGATCCCTGGGTTGGGAAGATCCCCTGGAGAAGGAAATGGCAACCCACTCCAGTACTCATGCCTGGAAAATCTCATGGACGAAGAAGATGGTAGGCTACAGTCCACGCGGCCACAAAGAGTCGGACACTACTGAGCAACTTCACTTTCACTTTTTCTTTACCCCTTGTCCACCTTTGTCTGTCGCCCGCTGGAGGACCCAGGCCGCGCCAAGAGGACCAAGTACCCGAGTTGACCAAAAGTACTACTTGGCAGCCTGGGTTTTAAGGACGACCCTCCCAGGGCTCTTACCTTGCCCTCGGCCACGCTTCCCACCTCTTCGCTCTGGGCCGCGACGGTCAGTAGTTCCTTCTTCTTCTGAGTCACGATCATCGATTTTCTGTTTCTGTTTCCACTTTTGGTAGCTGGGGGGCTGCATTAAGGAGGCTACTTGCGGCACAGAGAGGCCCTTGGCGCTCCTGGGGTGTGACCATGCTCCCCTCCCCCACCAGGACACAGGCCTCACCTAAAAGGGGCCGGGGGTGGTTGAGCTAGGCCACGCCCTCCCTGACCCCGCCCCCCTACAGTGGCTGTGCCGATAGAAAGCGCTTGGGCCCGCCCCCTCTGGGCCCGCCCTCCAGGATACAGGTCCCGCTTGTAAGAGCTGCTGATGTAGCGGCCACTCTCGGTCTTGATCTTTTTCTTGTCCTCTTGTCCTGACTGTCCCACAAACCGCTTCTTCTTCCGGTCCCTGTGGGAGGAGTTGGGAGGTGTGCCGCGGAGGGAGGTGGCCCGCTTCCCCTCCGGGCCTGTGTCCCTCTGACCTCTCATCGGGTTGTTGGGAGGATTCAAGGAAAGCGGCATGCCCGCGTCTGGCATGCAGCAGGTGCTCCGTTAAGGCCCGTTCCCTGACCTTCCTCACCATTCCCTGGCATTCCAGGCCTCCAAAAACAGTGTGGGGGCGTCTGGGGATTAGTCCAACCTGGGAGTCTGGGTCAGGGGCACGGGCCCCCTGGGGGGGTTCCCGACCCCTACTTTACCACCTCCTGGCTCTGTGACCCTGGACTGTCACATCACTTCTCCAGAACCAGAGTTCAATTGGGCAAACTGAGTCATGAGCCCCTGTCTAGAAAGACTAGCCCCCCAGAAGGGCAGATGACCACATGGGGATTCCAGGGGCGGGGGTGGGGGGGTGTTATGATCTGTGCTCCACAGGATCCAGTGAGGGGTGGGAGGTGACATAATTCCTGCTCTAGGGGATCCAAAGGGAGTCAGGTCAGGGGGTCACGTCTGTTGTGGGGACCAAGTGGAGGGCAGGTGAGCATGGAGTGGTGTCCAGCTGGCTCACTTACCACTTGAGCTGCTGCCGGCCCCTGGTCAGGCTCTGGGCTTCGTCTCCCATCAGGTCCAGCACTGCGCCAGCCACCTGCTGCTCGAAGGCGCCCCCATCCCCGCTGATGCTCAGGCTGCAGAGGGAGGGTGGAGAGACACCCTGAGGTTGGGAGGGGGACCCAAACGCCCACCCCACTCCACCCCCGCCAGGACCAGCAGCCACTCACCCCCGCTCGCTGTCAAAGTCCTTGGGCCGGTAGGGGATGTAGAACGCCTGGTCCCGCTGCCGGGCCTCCTCCCTCCGCCTCTTGGCTCCCTGGTGGGGTCCTGGCTGCTGCCGCTTCCGGCTGACAACTTCTGTGAAGACGTCCTGGTGGACGGAGGCCCAGTGTCACCTGCAGCCCCCAGGGAGCAAACTGGCCTCCCCACTCACCAGCCCAGCTGGGGTCTAGGGCCAGGAGCTTCTGGGACCCTCCGTATCCTCATCAGGACCTGGATTGGTAGGGTGGGGGCGGGCAGGGTGCCGACCAGGGTGAGCCCCACCACGTGCCAGGTCCAGCTCAGGCCTCCAGTCACATGACCAAGGCAAAGCCCCCACCCCTCTCTGGGTGGCCTTGCTCTCTATGATGTGGACTAGTCCAGGGGTCTTTAAGCATATTTTTTGCCTACTGGACCCTCTGTCTGAATCAAGCATTAGAAGAGCAGGCCCAAGGCCTTATCCACCAGGTGAATGGGACACCCTGGACCCCCAGCCATGCCTTTGGCCATGAAGGCCCAGTGCCTGACTCTGCCTGAATCATGCCTCCGCTGCTGCCAACTCGGCCCCTTCCCACCTGCCCGGACCCCAGGCTGAGACAGACGGTGATGACAATGACACGGCCACCTGGGCCTGTGGGAATCCTCCACGTGCCGTCTTCAATCTGCCCAGTGGACCCAGAACTGGGTACCGCGGTCACATGACTGCAGTGCCCTCGACTACCAGATTCTGGAAATGAACCTTCCAGAGACTCACTTGGTGGCAAAAGCCGCCCTGAGCTGACAAGAGGCTGTGACTGTCCCCTCAGCATGGGGACCAGCACAGCTCACTGTGGAAACTGAAGCATTTCACGGCAGTGACACCCCAGACCCTGCTGAGGGTGTGACATCATCCACAGGGGACCCACCACAAAGACTCGAGTCCTGAAACGCACTTGGTGCCCTGGGCTTCAGGCAAGGGATGGTGGATGAGACCATGACTCCCTTCCGTAGATAGGGAGGCTGGGGCTGGGCCACTGGTTCCCCCAAATGTCAGAGGTGACTGGAATCACTGCCTCCACCCCTAGCAATGGCTCAAAGCCCTGAGGACAGCCCCATGGGCTGCGGGGACTTGACCCTCCTTTCCCCGACCCCAGGCCAGACTCCAGGGTCCCCCGTATGGGGCCTGCACCTCTACACTCTCTCCTGCTGCTTCCTCCTTCTCAGCCTGCTCCTCCTGCGGTGCTGGGAGGTTCGGGGCCAGGCCCGCCAGGCCCTCCTGCCGCTCCTGCCGTCCCTGCTGGAAGCTGGCGATGGCTTTGCGGTCCTTCTCCCGCTTGGCGCGCATCACCTGGCTGCTCAGGTCGCGGCTGGAGGCGTTGATCTCAAAGATGGTCTGGAGAGGGGACACCCGAGGCCCTGACCCACTGGCGCATCCTCCCCAACTCCAGCCTCCCCAGCTTGGCATGCGCTCCCTGGTATTCCTCCCAGTTCCCTTCCATTCATTCCTGGCTTTTCACAATCATGGAGGGAGGCCCAGAGAAGGCGAGTAACTGGCCTAAGGTCACACAGCTGGGACATGCCAGATCTGGGATTTCAACCTAAGTTCACTGGCTCCCAAACCAGTGCTTTTAGCCATGCGGGTCTCCTGCTCCTTTTTTCCTGGCACCAGCTGACAGGCCTTTCCTCTTTTGTGGGCAGCATCCCAATGGGAGTCAGGAGCTAGGAACTATGGAAAGCCAGCTCCTCTAACAGGCCTAGGGCGGGTCCCTGCCCTCTGTGAGCCCCAGTCTGCCCAGCTGTATGGGAGGCGGGGATGGTGTACTGGGCCTTCTGCTCTGCATGGGAGGCCTGGGAAACGCGCTGCTGCACAGGAGGGGTGGTTCCAGAACCAGCAGAACCTTGGCTCTGGAGGTGCTGACACAGCTAGAGCCACGGACTGAGGATTCCCTGCTCGGGGAGTCAGTCCCGCCGGGGAGTCAGTCCCGCCGGGGAGTCAGGTGCTCAGCCAGACCCAGGCCCCGCACTCACGGCCCGGGAGCGGTAGTTCCTGATGCTGTCCACCAGCCTGAGCTGCTGCAGCTCCTCCTGCTGGAAGCGAGAGCCTGGCAAGCAGGAGGGAGGGAGGCAGGCATGAGGTCCGGCAGGCTCTGCGGGGCCCACCGTCTCCACCCCACACCTGCCTGGAACAGGGACTCACTGAAGAGGGGGTGTAGGCCCAGCCTGGCGAGGTCCAGCTCCTTGGCCCTCTTGATGGACTCGGGCGAGGGCGCCGGCCGTGAGCGCACATACTGCTGCTGGGCGTTGTCGGCCACGCGGCTCAGGCCCCGCAGCTCCAGCGACGCCTCCAGGCTGGTCCGCAGGCCGCAGTCCTCGTCGTCCACCACACCCTGTGGCACCCGGCCCAGTACACCATCCCCGCCTTCCGTGCCTGCTGCCCACCAGGAGCCCCGGTCAGAGACCGTCCTCTGCCCACGGCCCCTCCGCAGCCCCGCTCTGGGTCCCGAGTCACTAAAATCAGCCCCACAAGGGAAACCATCACTTATCGAGCGGCTCCTCCTGTTTTTATAAATACAGATTTACAGATCACACCCCCCTCTACTCAGGTCTGTATTGTCTGGGGCTAATTTCACACTACAAGGGCACAGGTGTGCAGCTGCCGGGCCTCAGGTGACCTGCAGGGCCCAAGATGTTTACTATCTGACTTTTCAAGTGAAAGTGTTAGTCGCTCAGTTGTGTCTGACTCTTTGTGACCCCATGGACTGTGGCCCACCAGGCTCCTCTGTCCATGGGATTCTCCAAGCAAGAATACTGGAGTGGGTTGCCATTCCTTTCTCCAGGGAATCTTCTTGACCCAGGGAAGGAACCCAGGTCTCCTGCTTTGCAGGCAGATTCTTCACCGCCTGAGCCACCAGGGAAGCCCTTGTCTAGCGCTTTATCTGCCTTTCAAATACAGACATCTTCCCTTGGGGTCAAATTCCAAGCCAGGACAGCGTGGCCCACCTCCACCCCGCGTCCACATCATGAACTCCAGGGGGACCCGGTCCCGCCCCAGCTTCTACTCACCTGAGGGCTCCTCAGGGGGCCGGGCAAGGGTCAGAGCACGGCCCAGGAACAGGTGTAGGTCCAGCAGGTAGGGGACCTCGTCGGGGGCCACCAAGGAGTAGGCCGTGCCGCTTCGGCCGGCGCGGGCCACGCGACCTGCAGGGGAAGGTGGTCAGACAGGGACAAAGGCAAAAGACCCCAGAGCCCAGCCCGAGCCCCACGTGCCCAGCCGTAAGGGTGGAGCCACGCCACGGCCCCACCTTACTGAGCAGGGGCCCACCTAGGAACGGGGCAGGGCAGCGAGTCACTGGGGCTACCTGCCCGAGAGGTTGTGAGCCCACACAGTGCTCTGGGAGGTCAGCAGAAAAAGACGCAAGAGAGACTTCCCTGGCGGTCCAATGGTTAAGAATCCATCTTGAGATGCAGAGGACACAGGTGTAATCCCTGGTCAGGGAACTAAAATCCCACATGCCAGAGTAACTGACTAAGCCCGTGAGCTGCAACAAAAGACCCCGCATGATGCAGTGAAAGACCCTGGGTGCCACAACTGAGACCCGACGTGGCCAAATAAATAATAAGATTTTCAACAAAGAAAGACACTGTTCTTCATCGGTATCAGAGGTCTTCAATCCCCACTATGGGCGATTTTTCCCAGAGAAATAACCCAGGGTGCAAAGATTCAACCGCAGAGACCCCTACTCCCTCTGGAAGAGCAGCAAACTGGAAATCACCTAAAAGACGTAAGGACAGAGGGTCAGTTAATTAGCTGATGACCACCTGGTGGGTACTACACAGCTGAGGAAAGAGGCTGCAAACTGTGGTCTGTGGCCAAATCCAGCCCCAGCCTAACTGTGTAAAGTTTTATCAGCACACAGCTGTGTTCCTTCATTTACATATTGTCTGAGACCGCTTTCAGGCCCAGAGCTGAGATCTTTAACAGACTACATAGCTCCAGAGCTCCAAGAAAAAATATTTACCATCTGGCCCTTTACAGAAACAATTTGCCAACCCCTGTCACAGAATGGTGTTTAGACGATGAATGAAAAACATGCATGATGTACAAAGAGATAAGAATAAGGTTATAGGTAAGAACGGCCAGTGTGGGGACTTCCCTGGTGGCCCAGTGGCTAAGACTGCACTCCCAATGCAGGGGGCCTGGGTTCAGTCCCTGGCCAGGGAACTAGATCCCACGTACCATGACTCAAAGTTCACGTACCACAACTCAAGATCCCGCATGCCACAACCAAGACCCAGTGCAGCCAAATAAGTAAGTTTAAAAATAAGTTTGTTTGTTTGTTTTTAAAAGGAACATCCAATGTGATTCTAATTTTGTGTTAAGTAAATCCATGGAGAACATGACACTTTGGCTTGTTTCTGCATCTTGCAAAAACCACATATCACCATGTACAGAAGATTTCGTTTGTGGTGGTCTGATTCACACTGCTGGTCATGTAGCACTTGAGAAATTCCCTTTGGGGGTTTGGAGATGCCTCAAGGGATGTGCAGGGCCAGCCCTCCCAAAGCAACGGAATCAAGGGTACAGCACGCAGCAGCCAACAGGGAGACGAGGCTGGAGACCCAGGTGGAGGTTCCCTTGCACCCCAAAGGTCCACCCATGGGCAGCCCACCACGGGCAACCAGAATTTACCCATTCGACAATATTCAATTATATGCAAGACAACTGAAACAAACCAGCCCACCAGACACTTCTCTCACACGAACTTACTTAACTTACTTGTATTTATAAATATAACACACATATTTATGAGTTAAAAGAAAAAAAAGGGAAGTAGGCTGATGGTTACCAGGGTCTGGAGAAGGGGAAGAAGGAATTAGATTAATGGGTACAGGGTTTCAGTTTGTTAAGACAAAGATGCTCTAGATAAAGAAGGTGGGTGATGGTTACACAACAATGTGACCATACTTAATGCCACTGAACTTACACCTGAAAGTGGTTAAAATGATCACTGTATGTTTATGTATATTTCACCATAATTAAAAAAAAAAGAATCCTAGACACCCCGCTTTGCTATGTGTGTGACACCTGGCTAGTTCTGAACCTCCCTGCCTCGGTTTCCTCATCTGTAAAATGGAGCCAGTGCGGCTGGTACCCACTGCACAGGGTTGTTGCAAAGACAAAAAGAGCAAGCAGAACACCTGGACCAGCCTCACATGACGAGCACCTGTGGCCATCACATCACCAGTGGGGGTGGGGGACTTCCAAGAGGGGAACGTCCTGCCTTCTAGGTGTTTTGCTCCATTTTCAAATTTTCCTACAATGTGTGGACCTTATTTTTATAACTGAAAGATGGAATGGAATGAGTTGGCCTGGGTGGACTGGGGCCTGACAGGCTGCCTAGATAAAGTAGGGAGACAGGAGACCCCATCCACAGTTGATGGAGCAGGAGGCAGACAGGGCAAAGGTTACAAAGGTCCCCAGGAGTTTTAGGGAGAAGACTGTAGGGAAGAGGGGTCGCATTATCAAGGACCCTGAAGGCAAAGAGAAGCAAAGGACTGGGAAGCCCAGAAAACTCGGGAGCATCACCTCCTTGAGAGTCTGAGGCTGCCGGACAGATCCGCTCCCCAGAGAATCTGACTTATCGGTCCCCTCCTTGGGCCTTGGTTCCCCAGCAGTAGGGTCAGGAGTCGAGTCCTGCGCCCTCAGACCTTGCCAGGACTTGACACCCCCGTGGGGTCCAGTCCAGCCATGGGCTCCTTACCCACGCGGTGCAGGAAGAGCTTGCCCTTGGCGGGGAAGCTGTAGTTGATGACATTGTCCAGCAGCGGGATGTCCAGGCCCCGGGCGGCCAGGTCAGTCACGATGAGGGCTGAGCACTTGCCGTGTGTGAACCTGGCCAGGTTGATCTTGCGGGCCGTCTGGTCCAGGGCGCTGTAGATGTGGGCACAGCTCACCCCCTGGGTTGCCAGCAGCTGCTCGGGGTGAAGACCGGAGAGAGGGAGAGGGGCTAGACCAGGGGCTCTGGAATCAGGGCCCTCAGTTTGAACCCCGGTTCAGCTGGGTGACCTCAGTTTGGCATCTTCATCAGTATAAACGGGACTCGTATCACCTCTCACCTCTGCAAGGTTGTTTGAGTGTCAAAAAAAGATGACACGTGCAGAGGCTGCAAGTGCCGCTGTAAGACACACAAGTCTCATCCTAACTGTCGCTAACAGGCTGTGTGACCTTGCCCAAGTTTCCTAACCTCCCTGTGCCTTCCCTTTCTTCTGTAGAACGGGGACAGTAAGCTTCCTCTCTGTAATTTTATTATGAGGATTAAGTGAGCTACTTTACACACAGTGCTGAGAACAGGGCCCACAACAAGGAAGCACTGTGAAAGTGGGAACTGCTCTTTAAAAACAATTTTGGTTTTATTCATCAGTGACTCCAGCAGCCATAGGGAGGAAGCACCGTTAAATGTGTCATGTGAGTGAAACCCAGTGAACTGCGTCCTCAGATAACAGACCCCAGGTGTGGCTGACCCGAGGCGGCTGCACTGACTCGGGAGGGGCCTGGGCATCCTTGCGGGTTAGAGGACTCCCTCCCTAGGAGGGTGACAGGTGTACATGTGCAGAAAAGTTCATCAAGCTGCTCACATAAGATTAGGGCACTTTATACAGCTTACAGGATGCAGGTTATTTCTCAATTTAAAAAAGAGAAACATGTGGGATACTAAAAACCTATAGAAAAATGATGGGACAGCTGAGATACACTTCAAAATACCCCAGATGGAGTGAGGAATATTAGAGATGAATCAAGGCTGGGTATGAGTTGATAACTGAGTACCTGAGAGTTCATTATGCTATTTTCTGACTTTGCTGTGTGTCTGACATTTTTCGTGTGTGTGTCTGTGTGTGTGTTTAGTCACTTCAGTCATGTCTGACCTGCGACCCCGTGGACTGTAGTCCACCAGGCTCTTCAGTCCATGGAATTTTCCAGGCAAGAATATTGGAGCAGGTTGCCTTTTCTTTCTCCAGAAATTTTTCATAACATCTTCAAAGAATAAAAAAAAATGGACAGCGCTCTGGCCAGGCCCGAGTCCCGCTCTGGTGCTGCTCTCTAGTGGCCGAATCCGGAACTGCAGCTCCGAGCTGGCGCTGGAGTAGGTGTTGGTCCCCAGGACGGGAGGGAGGGGATGGGGGCGTCCCTGCTCACCTCGCTGAGATACTCCGCGTGGTGCTTGGTGGCCACAAACACGACCGTCTGGTCCTGGGGCCGCACCATGTTGCGCAGCAGGTGGAGCAGCACCGCGGCCTTGGCGTCCTCCCGCACCAGGAAGAAGGAGGTCTGTGGAGAGACGCGGGTTACTTGGGTTGGCTGGCGGGGGTAGGGGGGATGGGGTCCTGACCCCGCGGGCTGGGGGAGGGGCACGGGTGGAGCCGGCTCACCTTCAGCTGCTCATTGAGTTTAGAGTCCACGTCTAACCGGATGAGCACGGGCTCCGTCAGGCCTACGGTGGGCAACGGAGGAAGATGGGTGGGGAGCTGGTGAGAGTCAAGACTGCCCACCCCCCACCCCCCAGGTACTGATGAGTTTCCCAGCCCCCAGCCTCGCTCCTGCGGCCCCCTCACCAGCTCGGGCAAACTCCACCAGCAGCTTGGGCAGCGTGGCAGAGAACAGGACAGTCTGGTGGCCCCCCGGGAGGCGGCCGATGATTTCCTGGAGCTGCTCTGCGAAGCCCATTTCAAAGAGCCTGGGAGGGCAGAGGACAGGGCAGGGTCAGGAGAGGGGCTTCCGGTCCAGTGAGTTCCAAACCTGCCATCCTGCCCTCATCGCTGTCACCTGGGCAGGTGCTTCTGTAACTCAGCTCACTTTTTCTCTATTTGACAACCTTATCCTAAGCAGTCATGACCTTGGTACGTGGGGCCTGGTCTCCTTATGCTTTGTTTTGTTTTGTCTGCACCGTGAGGCATCCAGGATCTTGGTTCCCCAACCAGGGGCCAAATTAGGACCCTGAATTAGAAGTGCAGAGTCTTAACCACTGGACCACCAGGGAGGTCCTTGTTTCCTACAAATTCAAATAAATGATAGCAGCCCTCACTCTGGGTCAGGCATGGCTCTATATAAATAAAACTTCCCCTGTGAAGTGCGTGCTCTTTTATTCCCACTTTGTAGCTGAGGCAGGCCACCAAGGTCCACGGATCCTCAAGGATTTGCCCAAGTTCATGGAGCTGGGATCAGCTCCCACCCCTGTCTGGCTCCAGACTGTGCTCTCAGCCTTGTGCTACTTTTTATCTCTTTGAAATCGTGTGTTTGTTGTTTTAATCTTTTCAATATTCCTAAAAGCAATACAAAAGGAGAACTGTTGGTCCAGGGAGCCCCATCAGCTCTCACATGACCTGCAGTCTATGGCCCACTTTGGGGAAAACACTGCTTCAGTCTGGGCTGCGTAGGTCTCTCCTGGCAGAGCCCTCCCTCCTGGCCAACCCTGACACGAGTTCCCAGGAATGCTCCTGCAGCCTTACCTGTCAGCCTCATCGAATACCACGTACTCCACACTCTGCAGCTTCAGGTTCATCTCCACAGCCACATGCACCAAGCGCCCAGGGGTAGCGATGATTCTGGAAGTAGTTGTGCCGGCCAGGTCACCTGGGGCCAGGGTCACCAGCATAGCCCTCCCCTCACTCCCCAGGCCCTGGCCATCAGGGAAGGGACCCCAGAGCCTCATCCCCAACCCACAAACTCACATGTCAGGATTTTCATGCAAGGCTGCAAATTGGTCTTCCATCCTAGGAAGAAGAGGGGGTATCTGTCAGCTTGATTGAACAGGTTTCTTTTGTCTCTCTCCCTTCCCATCTCCAAATGCCTAGATGAGTCCCACACCTTGACCCCAGGCTTGGAACTGGGAAAAAGCTATTGCTGAGGTACTAGGCAAAATCATTGACCAGACAAGGGCTACAAGTTCAAACATACAAAAGGACTGATAACAACAAAGTTCTCCAAAGAGAAGGACTCAACCACAGAATCCATCTTTTACTCAGTTCAGATTGAAACAAATCTGCCTTTGACCCACAGCACCACCTAGCAACTAACCCTGGAACTCCCAGCTCCACCTGGAAGCAGGTTTCCTGGATCTCTATGTCCTTGTTCTCACACCATTTAAGCATACATCCCTAACTTTAGTTCTCCTCTGAAAACACCTCAGGACACCTGTAGGAGCCTGGAGGCAGAATTCTGGGCCAGGTCCAGCTTATGGAGGTATTTCTGACAACCACAGCAATAGAGATAATAAATTATAATGTAGGCAAAAGAGCACTGAAAAGCAAAACATTCTCTCAGTGAGAATCAAGAGTGACTGGTGACTGTGACATCCTGAGAGAATAAAGAAGGGGCTGGCTGCCCTCTGAGGGAGAAAATGTGGGACAGGGGTAGGGACTCTAATCTTAGCTCTACTTCTAGACCACCATGTGGCTCTCTGGGCCCACCACTTCCTCAGTTGGCTCATCTGTAAAACAGGTGTGGTGCCTGTTACCTCAAAAGGATGATATAAGCACATCAGGAAAAACATAGTGTTTTGTAAATTTGAGCTATCAAAAACATCCCTTGATTTGTGTGCATTCCACCTGAAACAGCCCCAAATTAAGCATATTAAAACATATACAACTAAGCAACCCATTTGGGTGACCCAGGTGCTTCCAGCTCTCCTTTAGGAACACTAGAACCTGTGTCTGAGTTGTGTGGGAAATTTCTTTCTGTATTTTACTGGATGTTTCCCCTTGCTGGTATTTCAGGAACGTGTGGAGACGTGGCTGTTATTAACAAGCAGCGTGGGCTCTGTCCATCTGATGGGAAAGCCCAGGCAGGATTGCTTTGGGGGCCACCACGCAGGGCACCGAGGGGGCTCTTACTTGTCCCCACCCAGGATCAGGGCAGTCTTGAGGCCAGTGAACTTGCCGAGCTGCGGGGAGAGAAAGAGAGAGAGAGAGAGAGAGAAGGAGAGAGACTAAGAGCTGGTGATGGGAGCTGAGGCTTCCCTGGTGGCTTGGTGGTAAAGAATCCCCTGCCAGTGCAGGAGAGGAAGGTTTGATCCCTGATCGGGGGAGACACCCTGGAAAAGGAGATGGCTACCCGCTCCAGTATTTTTGCCTGGGACGTTCCATGGACAGAGGAGCCTGGCCGGCTACAGTCCCTGGGGTTACAAAGAGTCAGACACGACTGAGCAACTGAGCATGGGAAAGGATGGGGGCTGACCCTGCCCACTCAGGCCTGGCTGACTGGTCTCAGCTCAGTCTAGCCACCCTGTCCCCCCGCCCAAACACACCTCCTTGGTAAACTTCATGGTCTGCAGGGCCAGCTCTCGAGTGGGCGAAAGGATGAGGGCACGGGCCCCAGTCTGGGCGCTGTGGGTCTTGAGCCGCTCGAACATGGGGATGAGGAAGCAGGCGGTCTTGCCACTGCCTGTCCGGGCCATGGCCACCACGTCCTTGCCGTCCAGGATCATCGGGATGGTCTGCAGGGGAACAAGCAGGGTAGGGGAGGGTTCCGTTCCTGCACCCACGGCCCATGCGATCCGGAGCGTCAAGTCCCAGCAGAGAACCTGGGCATCTCAGCAGAAGGGGCGGGTCCTGTCTCCCAGCCCTGATCCCACTCTGGTTAAAGCCTGTGTGCACAACTCCAGGAGTGAGCAGCCCGTTACCCCCAACTCTTTCGACCTTTGGGACACCTCTCTCCCGGTTAAGCCAGGCTCTATCTCCCTGTCTGGTCCTCCTCCTCAGAACCCCAGAGAAACGCTGTCTCCCTCTTGGCTAAATGTCTGAGGACAACTATCATGAGATGACAGTGGGTGATGATGGGGTGTCTGTGAGCTGTCGGGGCAGGGACTGAGCAGACAGCAGCTTAAGTGGCAAAGAGGCCCCAAGTCGAGCATCTGCCCATTCTGGGCCCGACTTTTCTCCACTTGTGAATGAGCAAGCTCGTGGGGCTTCAGCCAGAGTAAGAGGGGACAACAGATGTGATGGCTGGGACAAGGGGTGAATGTCAAGAGGCCAGATGGACGGGTCGGGTTGGCATCCCCTCCTTCTAACCCGCAACAGCGTCCCCACCACATACCTTCCTCTGGATGGGTGTCGGCACCTTGTAGCCCTTCTTCATGATGCCTTTGAAGACTGGGTAGCTCAGGCCTGGGAAAGACATGGGAATAGCCAGGGAGCTGAAGAAGCCCCTAATGACACATGGCTGAAAACTACATGGGACAAATGACTGTCTCATCAACAAATAAACAGCAAGGGGAAAAAAAGCAATAGAACAAAGCTGATGGATTAATAGAGACTGAGAAGACAAGTTTACTGATTGTGGGGTATGAACTGCATTTGGATTCTGACATGAACACTCAATGCCGTGGGCTTCACTGGTGCCTCAGACACTAAAGAATCTGCCTGCAATGAAGGAGATCTGGGTTTGAGCCCTGGGTTTGGAAGATGCCCTGGAGGAGGGTATGGCTACCCACTCCAGTATTCTCACTTGAAGATTCCCATGGACAGAGGAGCCTGGTGGGCTACAGTCCATGGGATCACAAAGAGTCAGACATGACTGAGCAACTAATACATATATATGTACATACATAATGCCGTGAGACAATGGGGGTCTGAACACTGATGGCGCCTGGGATGACACTGAGAAACTGGGTTTATTTTAGGCGGAGGAGGGTCCTGCATCTCTTGGAGGCAGGTGGGAAGTATTTAGGGACAGGAGGAGATGGCTTATTTCTTTGCCCAGTTCTCTATCTGGGTGACTGTCTTTTTCTTATTGATTTGTAAAAGCTCTTTATATATTAAGGTTATTAGCCCTTTGTCCCACAGTTGCAAATACATTCCAATATAGCATTTACTTTAACTTAGCCTACAGTGTTTTTTGGCATACACATGTCTAATTACCATTCAGCCCCCAGATATCTTTGCCTGTTCCTGCAACAGCATCACCCAGAGTCTTGCTCTAACTGTTCTCTCATTCTGTCAGGCCCGCTGCCCCCATAAGAAGGCCGTGACTGGCTTGGAGATTATCTGCTGCTTCCATCCACCCAAGCCTACCATAGTGCAGTCTGAGAGCATGGAGGCCATGATGACCCCCTGTGGCTCCCCCGACCCAAGTTCTCAGATGCCTGGCTCACTCACCCATGGACTGGAAGCCTCCTGATTTCTTCTTCTTCTTGTTCTGAGCTCGCACCATCTCCCGCGTGTCTGGCTCCACGTCCGAGGTGCATTCCGAGGTGGGGAAAGTGGGTAGGGGTCTGCCAGGCGCCAGCTGGGAGGGAGCAACAGAGAGGCAGCATCACTCCAGGTATAGTCAGACCACTAGGGGCAGGGAAGGGGGCTGTCCTGCTGCCAGGCCCCTCCAACTTGCCCTCATTCAAGGTGTGTTGCTCCTGTGAGATCACGTGACTTCTCTGCCAAAGGGCTCTCCTTTGACTGGACGAAGACAGGGCAGTGGGTCTGAGAGTAGGCTCTACAGACTGCCTGTGTTTCAGTCTTAACTCTGTCACTTGCAGCTGTGAGACCTCAGGCCAGGGGACTTCCTTGCCCAGAGCCTGTGATCCCGAATCACAAAAATGGGGATGACAGGAGCATATGTCTTATAGGGTGTTGTGAAGTCTAAATGGGTGTGTATAAAGCTTAGGACAGTGCCCAGATGGTGGTACTATCATTATTATCATCCAGACCAGTCATTCAGAGCCCTTAAAACTTTGGGAAGCCAATCAAAACATCTATTAAGAATGAGGGAGACTTTTCCAATCTGTCCTGCACCCCTCTCCCTCACCCCCTTTCTGATCCATCACCCCTCCCCAGATCTGTTCTCTCTCATTCCTGGCTTCCTGTCTCTGCCACCCACTTGTCCTAGCACAGCTAAATGAAACCCAGACACCTCCTCTGGGGAGCCTTTTTGGACTACAGCACTGTCTTCTTCCTCTCAGAAATAACATTTATAAAAACACTAATTCATAATAATGGCCAAAACTTATATGGCACTTACTATAAGCCAGGTGCTGTGCTGAGCATTCATATAAATTAACTCACTTCTCACAACAACACTGTCAAGCAGCTATTATTATTTAGTCTCTTTTACAGAGAAGGAAACTGACACAAAGAGAGATGAAGTGACCTGGCAAAGTCACACAGCCAGTAAGGGATATGAACCCTGGCTTCAGAGTTTATGTTCTTTCCTATGTGCTCCTCTGTGGTCCAACACAACCTTCTACGTCAGAGCTGTACCTGTCTTGTACAGTCCCTGAGATAAGAATGGTTTTTAAATTTTAAAAGGTTGTAACAAAATCAAAGAAGACAGTTATATGACCTTGCATGACCTTGCAAAGCCTAAACTATTTACCATTTGGTCCTTTACAGGGAAAGTTTCCCAACCTACCCCTGCTCTAGATAGACACATGATAACAAAGTGCCTGTAACACACTGGTGCCCCAGCAATATTTACTGAAGAGTAGAATGTCTGAACACTGTCATTTCCTCCTTTCCACAGTGTTTGAGGCACATAGAATCAACTACTTTCTACCCGTGCAGAAGTTGAGGCACACACAGAGAGGTTAAGCAATTTCTCCCTCGTGTACTCCCAGAGCCAGTACAAGGTGTTGAACACCTGGCCTTGGCCCGTAGTTACAGGGTACCTACTGTGTGAGGCTCGGCTGAGATGGAATAAGGTCCCCATCTGGTCCCTACTTCTGAGGAGCCTAGAGGGCTCTCTTCATATGAACGCCCACTCATTCATCTCTTATACCGAGTCTTCTCTGTGCCAGACATCCGCTAAGTACAAGGTTGGGAAAAACAATAGGCTACAGCTCTTTTGCCCCCTTGGGGCTCACACCTGCCCCCCCCATTTGCATACACTTGGCACTCAGTAGTGGAAATAGCACAGGGCCTGGAACCATGCAGTCCTGGATTTGAATCCTGGCTCTACCACTCACAAGCTATGAGGTCTTGGTCAAGTTGCTTCACCTCTCCAGGCTTCTGTTTCCTTCTCTGGAAAATGCGGATAAGTACTTAGCTCGCAGGGTTGATGTGGGGATTAAATGATAAGGCTTATAAAAGCTCTTAGCACGGAGCCTGCACACAGTAAGTGATCAACAGACTTGAGTTTAATTTATTATTAGTTTCCCAGAGGTTTGGGGGCGTCGCTGTCTCAAAGCCACGAGGTGCAGCCTTCTCCTAATTCGTCCTCCCAAGAAACCCCAACTCTCAAAAGTCCAATGTTCAGCACCCGCACTTTTCATTGGACGAATGGAAACGAGGATCCGCCCCCCCTGACCAGGAAGAAGCCAATGAGAAGCGCTAGACCAAGCGTCAGCCAGGAAGGCCCGCAGGCCCCCAGCTTACCCAGCACCGAGGCTTCGGACGTCTGGACCCCGGGTGTGGAGGGTCCTGGGACACGTGCTCAGGCTGGAGGTCCTGCCCTGACCCCCCTGGCCAGCCGATCTCTCCCCATCCTCAGCCGTGCCCGCTCCCCACCTGGGGGAACTGCCGGGCACCGCGCGGAGACGGAGCTCGGGCTCCGACGTGTATCCCAGCCCTGCGCTCCCTACCTTCTGGGCCCGGGCGTCATCTTCTGCCCGGATCTCAAACTCGCCGTCCTCCGAGTCGCTGCTGCGGGACTGGGACGCCGCACCCCGGCGCTTCCGAAGCCCCTTCTTCTTCTTCCACTGGGCCATGTTAGCTCTGGACCGCTGTGCGGCCGCCGGGCGCGTGCCGGCAGCCATGCGGGCCCCGGCTCCGGGAAACGGGAGGGGGCGGAGCCCGTGGGGACATACCAACAGCGCCGCGGGGGCAGGGGGGACGCCTCTACGCGGCCCCGGCTGCGTTCCCGCTCCTTCTGCTGCCTCCGGAGGCTTGATCCACATGCACGCACACACTCTCCTTGCTGGCGCGGAAGGTCCCCCCTCCGAAGCTTTGGGGAGCTCCGGCGGGCGTCCGGAATCGGGAACTCACCCCCAGGGAGTGAATGGTTTAGGCCGCTCCGCCCCATCCTGTCACTCACGGGTTGCTGTTGGACGCGCGCGCGCGGAACACACGTCGCTAGGGCCGGGCTGCCGGCGCTGAGTCGTTCCGCGCAGAGTCCCCGGCTTGGGCTGGGGCTGGGGGCGGCCTTGGAACTTCGCGAGCTCCCGGATTTCAGAGCTGCCGATTCTGATGTCCGGCGCGCGCCACCGGTGCCCTAGGGCCCCCGCGAAAGAGTCCAGGCCTGGGAGCAGGGGACGCTGAGGGTAACGACCGACGTCAGCGAGCCAAGATGCTCAGGTAGGAAAATAACTCGATAATGAGGGCACATCAGACATCTAAGGGGCGTGGACTTGGGGGTCGGTGAATGTGGGGCAGCTGGAGGACTGGGTGTGATCCCCTACTAGTGGAATGGTTAAAAGTGCACGAGCTTTAGACCCTTAATCAGGTTCAAATTCAATTTCCACTGTTCTAGCTTTATAGGTGTGACTGACACTTGTGACTACACCTTTTGAAGCCTCAGTTTTGTCATCTGTAGAATGAAAATAATGGAAGCTACCTCACAGGAGTGTTGAGAGGATGAAATGAGACAATGCTTGTAAAGCTCTTTGCAGGAGGTAGGCTTGGGATCAATCAATGCTGGTTATTATTTCTGCTCCATAAATATGTACAAAATATAGAAAACTGCCCTGTTTCCCCCATCCCCCACCAGCATAGTTGACTTTCTGTTTGGTGCCAGAATAGGCACAGGCCCAAATCTCTTGTTCATCCCCCTAGCGTTCTATAAATATTGACTGAGCACACACCAGTATGCTAGGAATGTGTATTTACTCATTAAATATTTGTAGCACCCCTGTCCCCGTCATTTCTGTGTGCTCAGTCACTCAGTTGTGCCTAACTGCGAATCCATGGACTGTAGCCTGCCAGGCTCCTCTGTCCATGGGGATTCTCCAGGCAAGAATACTGGAGTGGGTTGCCATGTCCTCCTCCAGGGGATCTTCCCAACCCAGGGATCAAACCCAGGTCTCCTGCACTGCAAGTGGATTCTTTACCATCTGAGCCACCAGGGACGCCCACCCCTTAATTACAACAACTCAGACAAGGTCAAATTTCTGAAATGTTCCCTGGGATTGGCAGCTCCCCTTTGAGGAAGACTGGTTGAGGGAGAATGTGACCTTTTTGCCCTGGGGACAGGGACTTAAGCGATTGCCAGTCTTTTCTGATGACAGATGTTGCCACCCTGACCCCTTTTCATAGGGAGCCCTGGAGGCAGGGCCTGGCAAGCAGAGCACCCCTGCTGTCACCCAGGACTGCGGAGAGCATGAAGACCCCGGTGGAGCTGGCCGTCAGCGGGATGCAGACCCTCCACGTTCAGCACCGCAGCCGGGGTGGCTACCGGGTCAAAGTTAGGCCATCATACGTGGATGAGACTTTGTTTGGCAGCCCTGCAGGCATACGGCCTGCACCACCAGACTTTGACCCACCATGGATGAAGAAGGCCAACAGAACCAGAGGAGTGGGGACAGGGGTGTCACAGGCCTTGGGGGCCAATGGGAGTTGTGAGTCCACCTCTTCCAGTGGCAGCACCCCAACCCTCACACCAAGGAAGAAGAACAAATACAGGTAATAGGATAGGGAGATTCCCTGCCGATCACCTTCTGTGTGACCTTGGGCAAGCAGTTTGACCTCTCTGAGCCCCAGTTTCCTCACAGTGGAAAGTGGGACGTAGTGGGGTTATTGAAAAGACTTAAGGGGGTGAGACATGTACAGTGGTTGGCATGGTTACCTGACACTAAGGGATAAATAAATGGTAATGCCATTAGACCGGACTTCTGAGGCCCAGAGGGGTGAGCTGATTTGTCCAACAGAGAGAGAGTGTTAGTCGCTCAGTTGTGTCCATTTCTTTGTGACCCCATATACTGTAGCCTGCCAGGCTCCTCTGTCCATGGAATTCTCCAGGCAAGAAGAGTGGAGTGGGTTGCCATTTCCTTCTTCAGGGGATCTTTCCAACCCAGGGATTGAACCTGGGTCTTCTGCACTGCAGGAGAATTCTTTACCTTCTGAGCTACCAGGGAGTCCTTGATTTATCCAAGACCGCAGAGCAGTTTGCATAAGATTACTAGTGTGGTTAATCCATCAAATGACATAGATGTGGTGATTCCAAACTTAAGCAAGTCATTTTGAAAATGGTTCTTGGTGCATTTCCACCAACAAGTTAGAAAAATGGAATCTAATGCCAGTGGTTATTTTGTAAGGATTATTTAAATTATTTCAATTAATAGTCTGGAGGGAGGCCACAGGGCTCTATCTTATTGTCATCAGTGTCTTGAACAGAGATATGAAAGACTAGTATATTAATCAATCAGGTTTGTTATATATATAACAAAATACTATAGACTGGGAGGCCTAAACAGCATAAATTTGAGTTTTCACGGTTATGGAGGCTTAAAGTCGAAAGTCAAGATGCTAGCAGGGTTGTTTTCTCCTGAAGCCTATCCTTGGGTTGCAGATGGCCAACCATTCCCTGGGTCCTCACATGGACTTTTCTTTGAGTGTGTACATTCTTGGTGCCTCTTCCTCTTCTTATAAGGACACAAATCCTATTGGATTAGAGCCTCACCTTTGTGGCCTCATTTGTGTGTGTGTTAGTCATTCAGTCATGTCCAGCTCTTTGCAACCCCATGGACTGTAGCCTGCCAAGCTCCTCTGTCCATGGATTTCTCCAGGCAAGAAGACTGGAGTGGGTTGCTATGCCTTCCTTGAGGGGATCTTCCCGATCCAGGGATCAAATCCAGATCTCCTGCATTGCAGGCAGATTCTTTACCACTGAGTCACCAGGAAAGCCCATGGCCTCATTTAACCTTAATTTAATTCAACACAAATTTTGGGAGGAGGCAATTCAGTCCTTAATAACTAGCCAGTCCTATTTGGGATCCATTCTGAGCCAAAAGGCATGTACGCTAATTGAGAGTGGGAATAGTGCCTATTTAAGAGGATAAAATTCAACAGAGATGAAAGCAAGACCCCATTATTGTCACGTCTGCTTGACAGTTCCCATGAAGCACGGGGCAGGCTCAGGTTGACATTAGTGGCACTGACATCTACAACGTGGCTGAAAGTGCTGGTGTTACTGTAGGCTGCACTAACAGAAGTCTGTGACAGGGAGGCACCAGCCAGCCCTGTGCTCGCCCGGAGGGTGGAATTTCATGCTGGATGCTGACAGGTAGAGGGTGTCAAGTTAGACGGTGCATAAGAGGTAGAGATGCTATTAAGCAGAAACTTTGGTACCAGACAGACATAGGTATCAACCAAATTTGGGTTTGAACAGTTAAATCAAGTGGCCAAAATGTTGACTTTCCAAAGACTTGCAGTTTGGGAATGGGGAGCACTTTTAGTTCTGGCCTAAAGTCATGGACCTCACACCTCATAGATACGCCACGAATATTTGTGGGATTAATAAAAAAAAAAATTGCTGAATGAATCTAGTCAAAGGTGAGAGGCCCTTAAGGCATTTAAGTCTGGCTTAGTGATCAAGAGCTTGGGCCCTTGAGTGGGGAGGGGGAGGGGCTGGATTTGAATCTCGTCTGTCATCCTTGTTATCATCCCTGCCTCAGTTTTCTTGTCTATAAAATAGGATTATCATATTGCCATCCTGTGGGTTTTGTGAGAAATAATGAGATAACACAAGTGACAAGCTGAGCCCTGGGCCTATACAGGAAAAGCCCTGAGTAAATACTCAAAAATTTTAAAAGCTACTCTGGTGGTGTGCCAGCTCACAGCACCCTCTACATGCCAGGTGCTTGGCTGTGCAATTTTAAATGCAGTTAGAAGGTCCACATGACTGCAGAGGGTTCGGCTGACAGGGCCACTAGGAAAAAGGTGAAGTGGTGAGTTGAAAGAAAAAGTGAAGGCGCTGAAGACTAAGGTTATATTAGTGTTGGTTGCAAGCAAGAGAAGAATTGGGCTTGGAAACAAGTTAAACGGGCCTCAGCAGACAAAGGGCATTTGGGACTTATATAACAGGGGCTCAAAATGTTGTTGGGATTCTTTCCCACACACATTCCAGGTGAGATGGCCACCAGCTCTTTTGCCCTTATATCCTTCCTGCTCGTTCTTAAGCACTCAGTCGGGGAAAGACATTTCTCTCCTAGTAGTTTCCACAAGGATTCTAAGGGAGACTCCCATTGGGCAGAATGGGTCATGTGGTTAGTCCTGAGCCAGTCAGTGTGGTCAGGAGGATGGGGTATGCAAATTGACCTGGCGTAGGCCAATTGGGCACATGCCCAGGATGGGATGGGGAGGATGCAGGGGGACTGGATGCTCAGCAGGGGGCAAATAGTGAGAGTTGAGGATAGTGGCACATTAGGGCTGTGGCTTCCCTGTGGGTACCACGCTGGGAGACAAGGACTTCTGGGATCTACAGGCAATCCTCTCGTGCTGCAGGGGCCTGGCCGGGGCGGGGGGGGGCGGGGGCGGTGGGAAACGGTTACAAGGCTTATTTCCCCTGCTCATTGTTTCTCTTCCCTTCCCAGACTGATCAGCCACACTCCTTCTTACTGCGATGAGTCTCTCTTTGGCTCCCGACAGGAGGGCGCCGGCTGGGAGGCCAAGTGGATGGCGAGGGGTGATGCTGCAAAGCTCCACGCCCTCTTCTGGACACCCCCGGCTACCCCTAGGGGCAGCCATTCTCCCCGCCCCAGGGAGACTCCACTGCGAGCCATTCACCCAGCTGACCTCTCAAAGACAGAGCACAGGGTAGTGGCCAGCTCCCAGAGGCTGTCCGTGGATGGGTTAGACACTCCACGCCCTCTGAGGCGGGAGCGTTCCCACTCCCTCACCCACCTTAATGTCCCCAGCACAGGTCGCCCACCTGCCAGTAGCCCCTGCACCAATGGGCCCCGAGATCCCAGGCCTGCCCCATCAGGGGTGACCTTCCGGAGTCCCCTAGTGACTCCCAGGGCTCGTTCAGTCAGCGTTTCAGTGCCAGCTACCCCCCGACAAGGTGGGGCTACCCAGAAAACAAAGCCCCCTTGGAAATGAGTTTCTTGGTCCTTTGTACAGGTGTGCCCATGGGGTCACAGCGAGGGGCAGAGTTTCAGAGAATGGTGCTGGTGGGCAGGCCTCTGGGGAGAACACAAGGCATTGGTGGAGCACTCCCGGGGACAGAACGAGGGTGGGCAGTGCCCCCATCTGACCACCTCTGGTTGCTCCCTGTTTTCCCTGCTGATATGGATTGGAGGGTCAACCCTTGACATACCTGTGTCCAGTCCTGTCATGGCCACATGGCCTGTCAGTGCCAACCCAGGGGGTGTCTCCCGGGAGGGTCCCCCACCTCCTCCATCACACCCACAACATTGTCTCCCCACCAAGTGTGAATAAATGGTGTGATCGCCAACCTGGAGGGCTCTTCCTCCCTCCCTTCAAGCCAAGTTCCTGCTCAGGATAAGTTTCCAGCTGAGTCTGGAGGCCTCAGGAATTTTCCCCGGCACCATGTGTGGACCAGCGGGGAACACGAGGACCTGGGTGATATGGGGGTGGACATTTAAAAATTTTAATAGTCATGTATTTATTTTCATGTATTAAATATATCAGTAGCTCATCAAAGCCATGAGTTTTGTTAATTTCTTTTTTCCCTGTAAGGTAAAGACCAGTGTTAGGCCTGAATTGATGTAAGTAACAAAATTAATAATGTTGCAATCACAACCGTGGCAGTGGGGCAACTGATCCTCCTCCCATCATGGGCTTCTAGCTAATGCCACTGATTGGTGGGTTGGCTGGGTCTTCCTGAGTTCAGAATATGGGCTACAGTTGTTTTGAAATCAGATATATAAACATGTATCTGATGTACATTTCCTACCTTTAAAAATGCAGGTCAAGAAGCAATAGCTAAGACTGGACATGGAACAACTGACTGGTTCAAAATTGGGAAAAGAGTATGACAAGGCTGTATAGTATCACCCTGCTTATTTAACTTATATACAGAGCACATCATGCCAAATGCCAGGCTGGATGAATCACAAGTTGGAATCAAGATCACCAGGGGAAATATCAATAACCTCAGATATGCAGATGATACTGGCAGAAAGGGAAGAGGAACTAAAGAGCTTCTTGAGGAGAGTAAAAGAGGAGAGTGAGAAGACTGGCTTAAACTCAGCATTCGAAAAAGCTAAGATCATGGCATCCAGTCCCATCACTTCATGGCACATAGAGGGGGGAAAAGTGGAAACAGCTACAGATTTTATTTTCTTGGGCTCCAGGATCACTTTGGACAGTGACTGCAGCCATGAAATTGAAGGATTGGAAGAAAAAAGCAGCTCCTTGGAAGAAAAGTTATGACAAACCTAACGCAGAGACATCACTTTGCCAACGAAAGTCCATCTAGTCAAAGCTATGGTTTTTCCAGTAGTCCTGTATGAATGTGAGAGGTGGACCATAAAGAAAGCTGAGCACCGAAAAATTGATGCTTTTGAACTGTGGTGTTGGAGAAGACTCTTGAGAGTCCCTTGGACTGCAAGGAGATCAAACCAGTTAATCCTAAAGGAAATCAATCCTGACTATTCATTGGAAGGATGGATGTTGAAACTGGAACTCCAATGCTTTGTCCACCTGATACGAAGAGCTGACTCATTGGAAAGGACCCTGATGCTGGGAAAGACTGAAGGCAGGAGAAGAGCAATCACCAACTCAATGGACATGAGTTTGAGCAAGCTCCAGGAGTTGGTGATGAACAGGGAAGCCTGGCATGCTGCAGTCCATGGGGTCACAAAAATTTGGACACGACTTAGCGACTGAACTACAACACGAAAGTTCTTAAAAAGCAAAATCCACAATGATTGGACTTTGCCCAATTGAGGGGTCCAGTAAGACCACAAAGTTACACATGGCACCTGGAGAGCATTCAGGATGGAGCCCTAACTGGTCAGGGCCCACCCTTCCCTGCTCTGCACTGTCCCGGGTCAGGCACCTTAGGAAGAACAGCAAAGCCTTTGCCCTGATGGAGTTGCACCCAGAATTGCAGCATCCCAGTGGGTTGGGTGGAGGCCAGACTTCCAGCCTCTCCTTGTCCCCATTTTCCCATGATGCGCCTCCAGGAAGCACAGAGATTCCAGGTAGGCCAGCTGGAGGCCACATCTTGGGTTCTATACCTCTACGCTGGGGGAAAAGATGCGCAGACACTCCTGGGGAACTGTGGGAGGAGCCGACAGTGACTAGGACCAGGGGCCCATGTGCAGATGCCTTTTCAAGTTGGGTGGGCCGTGAGGGAAGCCAGCAAGCTGTGCCCTCAGCACAAACACAGCATATTAAACACGGATGTTTAAATTTCCTAGAACTCTAATAGAATTAGTACCCTCCCCTCAGTTTTACTTGAAACTCTCATTTGCCTTCATCTCCTCCCCCTATGTTTTAACAGACATTGGCCACAAATACCTCTTTCCTCCAAACTGTACTAAAAAAAAGGAAGCCACTGCCCAAGTATGATGAAAAGAGGCAACTGACACTGAGGCGGTGAGGGCTGGAAGACAGTTGGGAGTGGAGGGGACTGGGGCAACCTATCTCTGCCATCCATAGGCATCTATAGGGGGCGCTGCTGCCCATCTTTTGAAGACATGGAGGCCCAGGCTATCTGGATGCTGAGTTGTTTGTTTGTTTGTTTCCAGAAAAGGTGTTTCTAAGCAATAGCCTCTGTTTTTTTGTGTGTTTTTTTTTAATGCCAGAAGTGTATTAAAAAATACATTGTTCAAACCCCCCTGGATACCAAATAAGGCCAATGTGAGGTTGCTGGTTTTTGACCTTGTGCTTTCACAGTTTTAAATGGGGGCGAAGTTGTAAACAAATACCCAGAGCAGGAGCTGAGGGCAGCCAGAAACCCTACCTGTCCCTCTTAAGAGTTCTCTGCTGGCCCTGCCTGCCTTTGTCGGTGGCTATGACCCACACCCAACTGTCCTGGCCGGTGATGCGTCCGTCGCAGTCATGGCAACTTCTGGTCTGGCACCCAGGCGGGCAGAAAAGGGGTTGCAGCCTGGGGTGTTCCCCACCGCACCCCCCCCCCCACAATGGACAAAGCATCTGCAGCGTGGACACACACCCAGGGGGCCCGGGGGAAATGAAGTTTATCTGTAGGCTGTGTTTGACAATGGTTTTTAATTTTGAAAAGGCGTGGAAGTCACAAACTACGGGGCTTCCCAGGCCAGCTCTCGAGTGAGAGGTCAGATTACGGCGAGCGCGGAGGGAGGACTTACTTCCTGGCCTTCCCTTTGCCCTTGCCCTTCTTCCCGCCTTTGCCCTTGCCCCGCTTCTTCTTGGACTTGAGCATGGAGCGGACCAGGTAGCCCTTCCACAGGGCCTGGATGAGCGTGGCGGCCCGCACCATGCGCACCATCTCCTGCTCGTCCTCCAGCCTCTTCTTGGTCCAGATCTCGCGCTCGGCCTGGATCTGGGAGAACTCTTCCGCCAGCACGCCGCGCCGTTTCTTCAGCTCCTCCAGCTGGAGCTGCTCCTCTTTGTGGATGACGTCCAGCTCCTCATACTCGTCCTGGGGCGGGAGGCAGGGAGCGGGTGGGCCATCGCCGGGCTCGGAGCGCCGTCTCCACCCTCTTGTGCGCATGCTCCCCGCCTCCCTGCAGGCGCTGCGCCCCCGGCCTGCCGCGGCCGCCAATGCTAAGCTTGTCTGCATCCCAGGCCCGGATGGGAGAGGGAGAGGTGACGGCGGCTGTCCATCCCCAGCTTGCGGTGGGAGGCCCGGCTTAAATAATTTCAGGAATGAGGAAAACACCCAGCTTGTGAGCTGGGCTGACTGGACTTCTAATCTCAGCTTGGCCGTGTCTTGAGGGGCTTCACCTTGTTCCAAGCCTTCCCTATTTCCTCATCTGAAATGTGGGGACTATTCCAAACCCAGGAGCAGGGGTGGGAACTATTTCCCTGATTAAATGTTGGGCTGGATGCAACATCCTAGATGGTGGTGCCAGGCACACAGTGGGGATGTTTAAAAGAAATGCCAGCCGCTGCCATCCACATGGTCCGTGTCACAAAGATACCCAGAGAGGACCTTCCTCAAGTGACCAAACCCCACAGTTCTTCCCCACCTCTAACTAACCACAGCCTCTCCTGCTGTATTTCACACCTATCTCCCTCCCTCCGTCCTTCCCACCAAGCATCTAGTAGAAGCAAAGCACTTCCAGAGGAGGCAGAGCTAAGTGGACACTGTCTTTGCCATCACTAACCCACCACCCTCACTGGGAACAGAGAAATGAGCACAGCCTCCGGTCTCCCCCTTCCTAGAGCACTGGGGATCAGACAGACCCCGAGTGGCCCTTCTCTTCACAGCACGCCTGATGTTGGACCACTCAGAAGCTAAGGTCCTCTCCAGTACTCACCAGGCCTTCCTGGCCCCAAAGTTGGGGCTCTGGGCCACTGATGTTAGCACAGAGCTGAGTGGAGGCCTCAGGACACCCCTGTTTTATAGACTGCTGTTCCCTGAGCACCTGCTCCAGGCCAGATCTTGTGTTGTACGAGCTTCACTGAATCCCCACCATGGTCCCAGCCTAGGTGTTACTGCTTATGTTGATCACATGCAGAATCCAAGGTCAAGTCCCTTGCTTAAGGTCACACAGTGACATAAGTGCCACTAGAGTAGAACCTCCAGATGACAATGAGGACTTTCTTCACCACCGGAGGCTGGCACCTGGCCCATCTCAAGCACTTGGTAGAAAGTTCCTGGGCAACTGAGTGAAGTGGTGGAGGTGAACTCGTGCTTGAATCCAGCACAGATGAGTCCTGGCTGGCAGGGCTGCTGGAGGGAGCTGAACAGGAGGGGACAGGGAGCCTGGGATGTTGACCTTAGATGGAGCCGAGATCTTTGGATCTGGTGCCAAACGCCACTTTGTGGCTGGCAGCTTCCGTTTCCTTCCTTTGCCACTGCTCCCCTCACTGCCCCAGGCTAGACAAACCCTTGAGCCTAAGGAAGGGACAGGGAAGTCACTCTCGGGAGGCCCAGAACTAGGCGTAGACCATGGACCATCCAAGGGCTTCTCTTCCCCTGC